TGGGAACCGAACCAGGGTCTCTCTGGACCACAGGCCGACGTTCTAACCACTGAGCCAAACGGGCCAGGGATATATAAATTTTATTGGTTACACTATTTTCAAGTAGAAGGGAGTTTTTCATTGATTTCTATCTTTATGCTAACTATCCAGAACTTCATTCTCAAGATACCTCCTAAATTCAGCTGCCGAAAAATAAACTAAACCCATTTTCCTGCTCCCATATTTATCCCATCTATCCTCTACAAGGATATCACTGCCATGCATAATTCTGTTTAAGAGCTTCCTATATCAATGAGAAGAAAATCCAAATGAACTCCTCACCCTGGATATATTATATGTAGTCCCTCTCTCCTACCCCACCTCTTACCATTTTGCCACCCTTTGACCCAACTCTACCTACCACAGCCTCTTTTAACTTCCAAGGTTTTCCTATTTTACAGGTTTTACATTAGCTGGTCCTTCTGACTAGTGCTCCAAAGTTCCATGTCAACTCTGGACCACCATATCACTTCACTGAAGTGAAGTCATTATGACCTACATTCTGCCACTCAGTTGCTTTGCATTATCTTAATACTCCCATAGCATTTACAACAATTTGTCTTCATTATCAAATAAATAAGCTGCCCAGCCAGTGTGGCACAGTGGTTGAGTGTTGACCCATGCACCAAGAGGTCGCTAGTTCGATTCCAGGTCAGGGCACATGGCCAGGCTGTGGGCCTTGATCTCCAGTGGAGGGCATGCAGGAGGCAGTCAATGTTCTCTCATGGATGTTTCTATCTCTCTCCCTCTCCCTAATATCAAAAAAGAAAATAAATAAATAAATAATAAAGCAAGCTCAGGGAGACAATGGACTTCTTATTCACTCATGTATACTCAACGTCAAGGAAAATGCTAGCAGAGGGGAATTCAAACAGTTAAATGGTTTGTCTTCATTTACACAATGTTTAATAGTAGTATAATGAAGAAACACACACATACCAAGGTATTTATAAGGACCGTCTATAGGTTAGAATGTGAGTTCAGTCTTTTACTTGTTTTCCACCACCACTCAAGCTACTACAACTCTAGCATCGTAGCTACTAACTGAAATATGCATCCTTTCACCTGATTTATTCATCACTGAACTTGAATTTTACTCTGTAGTCAGACATTTCCAAATAAAATTACCTTACCCCCACTCCCTGCCCCCACCATTGCTCAGCAAATAAACCTGTTAAGGACAAAAAGACCCTTATTGTTCTGCCCCCTAACTACCTTATTAAATATGCACTCATTCACTCTCTCTAGAATTAAGTCTTTTAGTCGGGCAGCAGGAAACCTTGTTTATCATTTACCAGTTGTACCTAGAGCAGTGCTTGGCACTTCGCAGCTCAACAGTTAAATAACTTGGATGAACCAGTGGAAGTTAAATCAAACATTTCTCTGTTAAGTCAGAGAAATAGAAATGTTTATCATAGAGCTAGATATGCACTAAGTCACTTAGAAAAATAGTTTTGGACTTCCAAATTTTAAATTATCTAGGAATTCTAAAGGGGATGTAGCAAAAAGGATTTTTTAAAAAGATGTTTATGAAACACAGGGTAGAAATGCAACTGATTTACAAAGAGTAACAACATACACTTGCTAAGGGCCCACTACATTGTTTTAGGCGCTTTATTAACCCACTAAATCCTCAGAGCTACCGATGTCACTTTACAAATGAGGAAACATAAGCAAAGGAAAAGGCTAACTAACCCCTGAATGGCAGAGCTGTCATTCACGCCCAGGCTATCTCCAAAGTCCTCCTCTTAACCATTATATTGTTTGGAATCTACTGAATGGACAATATATTGAAGTGAGATAGTGCCTGGCCTAAATGAAACCACCCAGAGAAAGTTCATGGGGAAAGAGATTGAGCACAGAAGGGATTGGGGAACAGCGGTTATGGGACAATAAGAGCAAGTACATTAAGCAAGAGCAGTTAAAATATTATTGTCAGAAAAGTGAAAGCATTCCAAGTAGGCTGCCAGCATTGTCAAAACTCTTTAAGAAACTAGCTCTGGTCAGGGTGCATGCTGGGGCAACCGGTCGATGTGTCTGATAAATAGAAGGGTAGTGATCTTTCTGGGAATGTTTAATTCCAACCCTGCATTTATGGTATACATAAGATATATATGCTACATAAGCAGATTCAAGTCTATTTGTTCAAAATATCCAAAAACTTCATTATTTGGGAATTAACTCAATGGTGCAAATTTTCTCAAACAATTACTCTCTATATGACCAACTGAAATCAGAGAAATTTCTTTCATAAAGTAGATTGTCCACTTATCCAGTAATTTTAAATTTAGAACTCTGGCATCAACTTGATCAAAATAAGACTACTACTAAATAATTAGAAAAATACTTATGAACACAGAATGAAAAGAAAAAGTCAAGGGTCTTTATTCATCTGTAATTGAAATGAAATGATGAGCAAGTTTCCCTAATTTAAAGAAAAAATATTAACATCTAGCCACTAAATTTTCATTCATTTGCTACAAACACTTAGTATTATATAGCACAATTGAAATGAAGCATCTTATGTGGCTAAGTCAAATATTTTGTTTCATATAAATTTCCTGGACCAAACGATAATTTGCTCCTTCAAATTTGGTTTTCAATAGTATGGCATATACATTTTATCCCTTCTTTAAAAAAAAAAAGTTTTTCCACAGCCATAAAGTTAAATGAGTCATTACATTATAATTAAAATGAAAAGTGAGTTTAATATACATTTACAAAAATCTTAAGTCTTCCTTAAGAGTATTTTAAACAATCATTATTCTGGCTTCTCTTCAGTACAAACTTGCAAAGTTCAATTAAAGGAATTTCCATTGAATGTATCAGGAAGAATTTGAAGAATTCAATTCTTCCATCCCTTTTAATGAAGAAAAAGTCTCTAATTCCCAAATTACATATGCTTTAGGACTCATAAATATGATTAAATGATCGTTTCTCCTTTAATCTTTTAGAGCTTGATAAATTGGTTTCAATTTTTGAATTGATTCATAAACTTTAGATAGCCCTCAATATTCCTATCCCTTTTATCCTGTCCTTCTGATATGTGAGGTAACAATCCTTTGGAAAACCCAAGATTTAAAAAAAAACAATGTTTAGTAGTCTGCTTTAGATCATTCTCACCTTCCTTACTATTTATTATTGTTGTAACATTCTTTAACTTGTAAACCAGCCATTTAACTGAACTGGGATAGAACTCTTAACAATGTCTTACTTAAATGCTTTACTTTTATACATAAATTTCACAAATAATAAGCAGTTGGCTTTAGAACAATTCCTTATTTTTACTCAGAATGTGTGAAATGCAAGTGGTAGAAAACATTTTGGAACATAAACCTATAGATTAAATTAGGGACATAGATAAATGCTGCAGACATCAGTAGTTTATTGTTTGTTTAGTCCAAACACATTCAAAATGGAAATTGAAAGAATACTTTCCACCTGAAACAAACTAGCTTCTACTAGCATATAATGCTTAACACATTACAGCAATAAAGATGGTAATTCATTGTCTTCTATACCTACTAAAGCCAAGATGGTAAAGCCAATTTGGTTGTAATAGTGTCGTAAGGATAGAATATTACCATCCAAAAAAAAAAAATCAGCAAATAACAGTAATGGTAGATGAATATTTTTACTCTGGTTCACTGAAAAGGGGACAAAATGTTAAAAGTCCACAGTACTGCAGGTGAACAATCACCATGTAAACTTCTCCATGTTATGTTTTAATGATTTATTCATGGTATGTAAAGACTGAAGCTGAATGGCTCTTTGCTCTAATTTTCTATTACACTTAACATTTGCCATTACTTTTGGTGCCAGAACAGTTTTCATGAGTGGCAGGGCAATATCCTGGATTAGAAATTTTATATACATAAAATGGGAAGAAAGAAATAAAAGAGTAAAGAAAAAATATGCTATAAAAAAACACTGACAATAAACCACCCATTTAAAAGTAGCTTGAATAAAGGCTTCAAAATTCAAAATTAATTTTTTCTGGTAAGAATTTCAAGTACTATACATCAGAAAGTGTAAAAAGTGTTTTAAACAGGAAAAAGAAAAATCCTTAAGCCCCCAAAATGGAAACTATTCGATATCTGTGTCCCCAAAATATATGCAATAGTGCAAGACTTTTCCTCAAACATGGAAGACCTCATTCGAAGGAAAAAAAAGGGACAGATTTAATTTTACTTACATTGCCCAGTACATGAAAAACAAAATATGTGCATCATTTGCTAATTTACTAAATAGCAAACAGTTTTCATAATTCAAAACCAGTTTGCTACTATGTCAAGTGCATTTTTGTTTTCACCAAGATAGAATGGAGAAGTCTTCCATGCTAACAAGCAGCTTTAAGTGGTCACACTTATTTACCCCACTCCTAGCTTGAAACATCAGAAACTGGTATGTACCAAATACTTCAAGCTTAAAATTGAATATCCCTTGCCATACTTGCGGTTTACTGGAACTTGCTATACAGACAGACAATAATCCAGCAGCTACAAACTTTGCTCACAGAATTGTTTAGAGATTCATGTAAAAATAAAAGATGTCGTCCCAGACTTAAATTCAGAGCCACTTGGGTGCTGACATCAGTTCAAGAATTGTGCAAAATGAATGACAGTTCCCTGCCCCCCCGCCCCAAATAGAAAAAGCAAACACTTAAGAGCTGCTGTTCTCTGAAAATTGCAGTATCCTCACTTCAGGTTTACTTGCCATTTATGGAATCTGACTGCTTTTAAAATGTCACTAAAAATGTGTATCAAATTGATTGACTTTCCCAAGCACCTCTCAAGTGATCCGCTTCAACGTTCACATTCAGGCTAGGAGAAAAGTCAACAAGAGACTTACTCAAATAACCGACTTCCTCCTTCCCTCTCCCTCCCAAACACACAAGACTCCCTCCCACAGAGAACACAAAGTTGTTAACTAAAGAACAAGGTAAATAATATGCTAGTCAATTTTACTAATTTTAAAGATACTGCAATTTTTATACACTTCAATGATTTTTCAACATTTTGCAGCTGTTTGGCTTTGCAGCACAGCAATTCACACTATACTGTACAAAATTACCAGCAAGACTGGAATGATGTATTAATAGAAGGCACCATCATGCTTATTACATTACCAGAGAACAAAAATACAGTAAAGACAATTGTCACTGTACACAGCTTAAAGAAAGGAAAAGGGGAGGAGGAGTGTGTTGAGCAGCCAGCCATCCCTGTACTGAAGAGGGGCAGGTAGAAAAATCTTAGATATGGAGCTACTAAATCTGGTCTAGTATTCAAGACCACATACATAGCATTTGAAGTTCCGATTTTTGTTATTTAGTTCAAACTAAATGATATCCTTCTGGAATATACTTGTAGTCTTGTTAAGGTTTATGTGTACACACGCTGGTCACAGCAAGCAGATAAAATGCCCTCATCATTTCACAAACTATTCTCTACTGGAAAAAAGGATGAAAAGATTTTTCCCCCTGTTGCCTTCTTTTGAAGATTTCAATATGAATGAGTTCAGAGTACCCATTAGTGCATTTTGATGAGTACATACAAGTTTCTGTTGGTTTGTATTTTGGGGGGGGAGGGGAGTCAAGAAAAAAGGCAAGAATCTCCAATTGCACTATTTGTGTTTCCAACATTAATAGGCAGAAACAGTAACACTTAAAATGTGCAGCAGAGGATTTTTTTTTTTTGACTCAAAGGACCCGAATTCAGTTGGGCATGTCCTTTTAAGAAGTTCATTTTGTTGTAGATAGTTTAAGATACGGTTATTCCTCAGTCCTCAATTCTCCAAGTCTAGATTTATAAATTAACAATGTGAATCCTGTTGTGAAATTGGGGAAATAATGTCCACCTCAATTTAACTCATAACCAAAAGATGCTTTTCACATCAAAGAAATGATCAAAAAGGCTGTGTCACATTCCAAAGCCAAAAAAAATTAACAAGAATGCAAACACGATGAATAATGTACCACTGCCAAGACTTTGCCAACAGTGGGGCTTCAGCGACGCTGTCCTGTGAAGCGGCCTTCCATCTGCCCAGTTCCTCTTCCAGAGCCAAGTTTCTGTGCCATGCCACCTCTTGGAGGAGGTCCTCTTCCATCCCGGTCTCGCATCATTCCACCACCCACTATTCCACGTGGACCACCAGGACCTCGATCATTGCGCCTAATATCCCTGCGCTCATCACCACCACCTCTGGTTTCTCGCTCTCTTGCAGCTCTTGTTTTTTTCTCTTCCACATTTAAACGCACTTCCCCTCGAAACATGATGGGCTTCAGAGGGGGGAAAAAAATTTACATGAGCAGGTTAGACAGTAATAGTAAAGTATTGCCTTGTATATGTAAATAAGAAAATCCTAAGAAACAAATTTAAAATGATCCACACCCCAGACTTTAAAACTACTAACAAGTCTTTATTCTTTGCACAAATACCATTTAATAGTGAACTATTTTTAATTTTACCATTAAAAAAGATTCTCTATGATTTAAAAATATATCAGATTGTTATATACAATAGGAATAATAAATTCTTCAATTATGCCCTTTAAAGTCACTTACTTTTGCAATTAAGATTCTTTGAACTGGTTCAGAGTCATCAAAAACCACAAAACCAAAATTTGGAAGCTTTCCGCCAACACCCTTGGTATTGATGCGAAGTTCCACAACGTTCCCAAAACCTGTGAAAATATACATTACACCAAGGGTTAAATATTTTAACAGAATACTTTGTGGCCTCAACTGTTCAGGATGAATAACCTTAATCTCCTTGATCCATATCAAAATAAAAGTTGTAAGTGGCTACACCAATAACAACTAAGGTACATATTCGCTCATTTAGGTCATTCACCTAAGATGCCAATAACTAGCTGGACTATTTGATTTGTAACCCTTCAGAATCTTTATTAGATCTTTCAAAAAGAAAGTTATCTACAAAGTTTTAGAAAGACAATGATACTTTCTATTTCTAACTTGTATTTGTCAAATGAATCCCACCTCCAAATTTAAGACTGATTCACCCAGCTCTTTCTTCTAACCTCTAGGGAACCAGACCAGTCAACACTAAGTACAGTCACTGAGAAACATCTGATATAGCCTTCTACTCCCTTCTGATAAGTAACTGGTACCTAGAGATATACCAAGTATGCAGAGAAATAAACGGTCTAAAAAATTCTAATTACACTATGAAAAAAAACTGTTTTTCTTCTGCTTAATTCTAAGATAAAGCAAAACAAACCACTTACTCATGAAGAACTCTTTCAGTTCATTTTCATCAATATCATGTGGCAAGTTACCAACAAAAAGTTGATGACTGTCTGGATAGCGAATTATTCTACGGTTGTCAGATTCATTCTGTTCTATATCTCCTCTGCCTGAGAAAAGGAACAAAGCAGATAGTAAAGTTCACAATGTCTTATTAAAACTAGTTCAAAGCAATGAATATAAAAATCACTTAATATCAATATTCCTGGTTTAGTTTCATAAGATAGTGAGTTCCTTGAACAGAGGTGGAAGTGCCTATTATTAGTAGGTTAGTTAAAAAACAAGGTGACACTAACGTGTAAAATGAGGGTACTGACTAGACTGCTTGAAGTCCCTTCTTCTAGCTCTACTCATCTGATTATATGAAAGTCAAATGTCAGTAGTACAAGTATTCCTCCTTAATCAAATTCTTGCCATCACCCAGGAGCCAAACAGATTTCATATAGTATATTTGTACTTAATATTTGTTTAGTATTTGGAAATACACAAAATTACTTAATCTTTGGTTGTATGAAATTACAACCAAATCAGTAAATTTAATAGTAATACTTCATGTATATAGACATTATTACATTTACACACACATACACACAATCTCATTTGATCCCTCCAGTAACACACACACAAAAAAACAGGCATAAAAGGCATTGCAAAAGAAAATTTTGTCTAATAACAATGGCTTAAGAGAAGCTCATAATTTAAGAGAGTCTCACCTAAGTTCATAAACTCAATCAGTGGCACAGCTAGGACAAACCCTAGCACCTGTGACTTCTGGTTTAAGAACACATCGCTTAATATTTTACTTTTGTGGAAAAAATTACATACTCTAAATTATGTATACTATCTCCCACCTCCTCCCAAAAGCAATCTAAACATACTTAGAGAATTCAAATAGAGGTGTTACATATATTAACTAAAAATGGAAACAAGTCAAAAATCATGGCAACTTACTTAAAACCTAAGACAATCAAAATAAGAAGAATCAGGGTGTGCTTATTGTTTATCTGTGAAGAGATAAGAGTGCTAAGTAAGAGAGTAGGTTATTGGCAGCTCGGTTTTGAATTCTTAAAACCAGTGACAATAACCAAATAATATTTGTCTCAAAATAATTTTATGCCTTCAAAATACATGTCTCTATGGCATGATAACTAATTCTCCCCTAAAAGTTAGTTGTTTTGCCCCAGAATGAATTTTAGGTTATTTAAACCTTTAAGCATTTTGAACATAAAAGAATTTGGGTATTAAACACAGTTTTTAAGTTCAGTCTCTTACAGCTTTTCAAGTACTAAACACTAAATTCTAAAGACTACAGAGGAGGGACTGACTCACCTGGTCTTGGTCCTCTAGGAGGAAAACCAGGTCGTTCTCTAGGTCGTTGTTCACGCACACGAGGTGGCTGAGACTGAACTTCTGGTTTAGCTTCAACTCTTGGCTAAAATACAAGGGAAAAAACACATTATAAAGAAGCACATTCCACAGGAGAAAAACCAACTAAAGCAATTACCAAAAGTAACTAATAGGCATAATGGTAACTTTAAGTTTAGAATGTTTTTCCTATGTACATGAAAAATAAATTTTTATAAAGATATTCTGTACCAATCTAGGACTGTAGGGTAGGTTTTGTTTTCCCACTCAAGGCCATATAACTCACAATAAGCTATTTTTTACAACCACATTTTAAAAATAAAGTTACATCCACATTGAGACAGCATAAAAGGTATTCCTACAAAAATCACAAAAATGCAAGATGAACCAGCCATTCCATGTAAACACATATACAAAAGAAAAGGCCATCTTTATTTTACGAAGAATATATGACACATACTTTCTAATTATCTAGAGTACTAAACACTAAATTGTACCAACTACTTCAAATGTTAAGTGCTCAGCAATATCCTCTAAAACCCACCCTATAAATAAATCTTGAAAATCATTATTTTGATAGTTCAAAATACATAATTTAGCTTACTCTAGCGCCTAAAAATACTACTTTTAAGTCAAAATGCACATAAGGAAACAAGACAGAAACATGTCTACAGTATCTCAAATAGTCAAAGAAGACCTTTAGCTTTCTGTTATTCTTCCTTATGGAAAAGGTGTGCACTTATTAAAGGACTGACACTAACAATTTTCCTTAACTGTTCCTTGAGGGATAATTGGGGGAAGGGGGTAAAGGGACATTTAAGATGCCTTCCAAAAGTTTCTACTAACTGCTGAATTTAACGCATATAATACTTGAAAAACAAAATAACATCCACATCTATTAACTTTTAATACAATGGCATTTTCAGTATTCTTAATGTCTTCAGGTTATCAACAGCCCAAATATTTGTGACCCAAGGAAGAAATAAAATATAAAATATGTGCACCTGCAAAGATGCTAAAAACATTCAGCAGGATACGAACAACATGTCCTCGAGTCAGAAAGCTATTAATTTCAGTGCTATCTTTATGGCTGATCATCTCTAAGGACCTCAGTCTGGGTAGTGGCTCAAAATTTCATCATTTATATAACTGAGGTATTATCATTTGCAAGGACAGATTTTGATACAAGAAGTTATGTTTCCTTCACCAATGACAATTTACCGTAAATGACTTCACTCACTATAACTCGTATCCTAACAGTTAACAGATTTGCCTGACTCTTCCCAAATTCTATTTTCTTCCATGTAGCTTCCCATTTCCTCCACCAAGATGAAGTTGCTTCCCAAGTTCTAGAATTCTGCTAATTAAAAAAGCTCAAACTCTCCCCAGATTTTTGTTATTTTTATGTATTTATTCCTGTAAGGACTACATCTTAATTTATTTCTTCTATACCACCCAAAGAACCAGGAGTGCTGTTAGAAACAGATGTTTAATAACTACTGATTCACTTAAAATTAAGTCACATTTATTGTTCTCTAACCCAAACATGTAGAAGACTGTTCCATATGTGACAACAGAACCTAAGTTACAGCCCTGAGACCATTGCTATCTATAGTTGGAATTTAACACTGTAAGATAATTTGACCCATGCATGGTGTAATGCCTGAAAAGGGCCGTTATTTAGAAATTTCAATTTAAGGAGGCCTAAAAGCACAACTTAACTTGAATATTAGAGTGTAAAACAGAATTAAAGAATAGATGTACTTTAACAAAATTTTATGAAGCTAGTGTGTTTAGCAAATTAATAAAAACAGCAAATGTACCTTTTAGTTTAAAAATCTCTGAAAAAAACCTCAGACTCATTCAATCCAAATGTTATCAAAGAACTCAAGGCACCCTCACTGAATCAAATTGTTTTCAAAACAGATGACCAAAACAAAACAACAAGTAGCAAAATAGAAAAGTTCTTCATTATCTTTTAAGGAATTCAAAGTAAAAATTATTTAAATAATTTTCAACATCTTACCAGTAATTCATACATTGATTTAGCAAACTTTTAGTATATATCTGATACCAGTGCAATAAAAATGAGATAAAAAAGCTAACAAAATCTTTCCAATCATTGATTAATATATGTTAACTAAGCCAGCTGTGAACTTATAATTTTTTAGGATCAATTTCATGATTAAAACAATTTACTGTAACTAGATAACATGGCTAATATGCCACATATTATTTTAGGGCCTTAAAATTATTTCCATGTAACCAGAAAGGGTGCTCACATGACAAATTCCACAAATGAAAGTCAAACAGAATGAGATAAAAATTAAACCATCAAATCAAGTAAAAAACAGCAGGTAAAACCACAACTAATAAACACATCCTTCAATTTAACATAAGCTATTTAGATGAAATAATAAATTTCCAGACAAAATCTGTTTACCAAGAAATTGACTTACCTACTTCTAAATTAATGCCTACCAATACCCTAGAATTAGATTTAATTCTCCTTTTATTAACCTATGCTAAAACTGTTAACGAAATGAATACTACACCAAAATAACAAAATCAAATCAAAAGGTTTATTAAATTAAGTGGAAAAATCATGAATCCATTCTAAATATAGCCTAAAAAGATCAGAAATTTCTTTAAAAGTTTACATTATAAACATTTAAACATTTTGTTTTACTAAGGGTATAGATTGGGAAAATACAATTCAAAAACTAACTTCAAAAATTAAAAAAAAAAAAAAGATTTTCCCTGAGTAAGAGGCTAGGATATAATGAAATGTAATTTAGACATGCCTTAAATACAGTACTTTTCTTCGTAAATGTAAATGTAAATAGAGATATATTGCCCAGGGCTCAAGAAATCTATATAGGTTTGCATGAGTCACATATGGACTCTGGTGTCGATGGTATCCAACTACATGAATTCAAAGCCTAGCCCTGCTATTTATATACCTGTCTGAGGTACTGCTCTATGCCTATTTAATTAATTGGGAAACAGGAATAATAATAGTAACCACCCTCAGAAAGTGCTTATGAGGATTAGATGAGAATGAATATAAAGTGCTTTGACAATGCCTGGTATAATAAGTGTTAGATAGTTTAAAGTTTAACTAGCAGTAAGTTTTTAAAAATGTAGTCAACTCTCTGAAATGAAGTAATCCATAGGATTCCAAATGTAAATATGACAAATCAAGCATTTCAAAGCACAACAAATACTTGATGAATTAATTTTCTTTAAGAAAGAATCCTGATTTGTGACCTGAGTTAACTACTCAACAATTCCTGAATATCTAACTAAAAGAAAAAAACAAAACAAACCAAAAACACGGTATCATAAGGCCATGTATGCTATTATGTACTTGATTATGTGTACCAACACCAGAAATACAGTCTCATAATTAAATTACTAGCTACTTTTGAAACCTCAAATTTTCACTATTTAGAGCATATTAAGAGGTGTATACAAACAAACAATTCTATGTGCACTAACCATTTTAAATGTAGATTTTCTAGTGGAATGAAGTTTAACTCCAAATGCAGGTAAAAGAACTGGACACACTTTTAAACTATGCCTATAAACTTAATTTAAATTTAGTTAGTTCTAAAGTACACCTAATAAATATAGTAGCCAGTGTCTTATTTTTAATGTTTTCAAAGCTCTGAAATGGGTATGATGACCAACAGACAAAAAGAATAATACTGGAATGATCAATTAAGGTGAACACTACAGTCATAAGTTGGTACAGGCTTCAATTAAACAGTGTGAACCACTTACAAAGAGCTTAGGCAGTATATTTTTTAAAGTATTCTATTTTTTAAAACAGTGATTCTTTACAATGCCACACTACTTTGTGCCTTTCCAAATTTTTTCTTTAAAATGTTTGCTAAATAAATTTAAAACTTTTTAAAAAGGAACTTTTTGGTTATTTTAAGAAGCCTTTTAAATGGCAATATAATATACATATATATAAGTATGTATGTGTGCAAAACCAACTTAATCTGCATTTCACACACCCAAACCCCAAATACCACCTATGTAGATGATGAATGGAGATTTGGCATTTTAAGTGGGTGCACTGACACTTAATACAATTTTTTGTATATTTAATCCATAATTTCTGATTGACTCGTTTTAAAAAGTAGTAAAAAGATAAGCAATTGGCAATGTAACAAGGATACATCCAATGTGTTCACAGATTGGTTACCTGTGAGACTGGTGCTTTAACATGGGGTGGAATTCCAGAGGAAGAAACAGTACCACTAGGAGGCAGGTTTTTACTGGTCACTGAAGCCCAGGAGAAAGCCTGCAGGAAATGCAACAAACCTAGACTACTAATCATGGAAAACCACCAACATTCCTATAGGGAAACTTCCAAATATATATTTTCTTTTCACTTCTAAACTATTGCTCTATATTGGAGGACTCCTAAAAGAAAAGGCACACACACACATGCCAATCTATGTACCAGCTTTCATAATCTCATTATGCAAGATTATTTGATGGTTTTTTCTGAACTACTAAAAAAATCCACAAGCAAGTTCCTATATGCCCTAAGTAGATGATGAGCAAGTGGCACAAAACCACTAACACATGCTAGAAAAATAAGAGCCTTATAGAACCAATCTTTTTCCCCTTTTAGAGAAAAACAGGGTATGTGATTGTGTTAAGGGAAGAGGGGAAGGATAGAAAAAGAAGAAAGTACTAGTTGGAAACTTTAACAAACATTCACAAATTGAACAAGGAATCTCCTCTCACTAACCAAATATACTTTAACCATCTACTTTTACAGAAAGATAAAAGATGTATAGGTAGGCTTAAATGATCCATTATGGGTGTCACTCATCTTTCCAAGATAGTTTAATTGGTATAGTAAGGAAACTGTTCCCATTTAAACCAGAAACAAGAGGTATCTCTTCTTTTAATAGGCCAACTTGTTTAAGCTGGGAAATTGCAGGACTCCTTGCATCCGGGTGTAGAGGACTTAATACAGAATGGAAGAGCAACTCTCAGCTTTATATATGGACCCAAATAATTTCATGTAAGTTACTAAACAATACATAGAGATAAAAGATTAATCTTAAACTTCACTCTGATGGCTATTTTTTTAGAGGGGGGAAATACAATGAGATTTCCTCGGGATTACAAAAAAACCCACAGCTCCTTTCATATACACAAAAAAGTAGAGTTACTATATGAAACAATTTAACATAATAGAACAAAGATCATGCTTCATTAATGGTATCAAATATGAAAGTGTGATGTTATAGATTAAAGAGTTCCTTTGATCTAACCTTCGGTGGTTCTTGTGGCAGAGAAACAGGTTCGGCAGGAGGAGGAGAAGTAGACTTCTCCTCTAATTCTTCTAAGTTCTTCTCTTCCACTGGCGGCTTCAGCTCTTCAGTCTTTGTTTCAGATTCTGGCTCAGGTTCAGGTTCATGAGACGATTCTTCCAAAGGCTCCTCTATACCATTACTGTAATAAAATATTTTATTCCCTTTTCAGTATGAGTGAAATGATCAATTTGAAATAAGATAACATTCAGCATCTCTTCAATCTAATGGGCAAAAGTCCAATAAGAACAGGAAGGCAGAAGGGAATAATACTCTCAAATAACATTTCTTCAACCCCACTCTTAAAACTAGATAACTAAAAATGTTTAGTTTAGTTCTAATTATAACTAAACTCCATATTTACAAAAATAAAATGCTCACCCTGTGTTGTCCCAAACACTTTGCATTATCAGTAAATGATCGCTGTTTTGGGCCAAACTGTGTTCAATTTTTTAATTAAATAAAACAAGTGTTTCCATATTCCTTGCAAAGTACTAAAATACTGTCCTAATAGGTAGCTTTTTTTTTTTTTATCCTCACCCGAGGATTTTTTCCCATTTTTGTTCAGGTTGAGTGGGAGGGAGGGAGAGGAAGAGAGAGAGAGAGAGAAACATCGATGTCAAAGGGACACATCGAGTGGCTGCCACCCGCATGATCCAACCTGGGCTAGGGACAAACTGCAACCGAGGTACATGCCCTTAGTGGGAACTGAACCCGGGTCTCTCTAGACCGCAGGCCGACGCTCTAACCGCTGAGCCAAACCGGCCAGGGCTAGGTAGCTTTATCAAAAACTTATTTCCAACAATAATTCTAGGAACAAAAACCACCTGAAAACTACATTATAGTTCAGACCAAATTTAACTTTGCAAACAATATTCTTACGTCACAGGGTGAGCTTCATAGTATCCACTGTTAGGATTTTCTTGTACAGGTTCAGGAGATGGTTGCCTTTCTTCTTGTTCCTCTTCCACTTCATCTTCTGATTCTAAAAACACATAATACACATCTCTTTTTAAGAGGCTTCACACACAATTTGATATACGTATTTTTAGTGTTAAGGCAGTGATATGACAATAGTAAAAAAAAAGGGGGGGGCGTATTTCTTACTGAAGCATTCATTTGTGATACTCCCTATTCTCTTAAAAAACTGAACAGCAAGCAAGGTAAAGTTTTATATTTAGCCCCCCACCCCTGCCCTTTAATATATTAGTAAAGAAAGGATAGGGAATAAATGATAAAGGCATAACTCAGTTTCCTTTGTCGCATCTATTCAATAGAGCAAATAATGATCAAAAAATGTAATAAATCAATGGAAGATAAATAATTATGGTATAGCTAAAATATTAACAGTCAACAAAAATAGTAAGTAGAAAACAAAAAGCAAGCTTTAAGCCAAGTATAGGATCCAACAAAATTCTGTAATAGGCACCAAACTTAGTTATCTATAAAGGATGAGACTGAGGAGAACTTTTTTTCATTTTCCATGTCTGACTTTTTAATAATTTCATCTAATAAACACCTATGTTGGTTACAACAGAAACCAAAAGGACAAAAGGGGTTTTGACTCAGTTACAATACAGGAAAATTTCTGTTAAGTTTCATACTTTCCCTTAGTGATGAAAGACCCTATCTTGAAAGTAATCTCACCTTCATCAAGTTCTGGTTCAGAATCACCAAATACTTCATCCTCATAACGAAACATATCATTGTGAACGTAAAACTTATTTGGAACAGATCCCTATAGAAAAACAACATCCAAATATACCATAAGTATCCATAAAGGTGGCATAACATAAAAAGAACAAATTACATGGCATATACAATTTCTATTTTAATACTATAGAAATAATGTAGTCTAAATATGATTTTCCAAAGTTTAACATGCTATACAATATTAATAAACTGTAAAAAAAATCAAAGAGTATTAGAAACTCAAGATCTACTTACTCAATGTAAGAGAACCAGAACCAATTAAAAAATGAAAGTTTTCCATTTTGTTTAAAATGTAACCTATTAAACACAACATACTTTTTGTATTACTTGTGTGATCTTACTCATCTATTTACACATTAGTATCAGTATCTGATTTTTACCTCTAGCCAGAGTGCAAACACACGCGCACACACACACACACACACAAAGCTCAAGTACATTATATCAACAGGTCCAGTACAAATTTCTCAAAAAAGCTATATGTATATGTAAACTAGTAATAAAAAACTCTTTGGGCACATTGAGAAACTAATAAGAGCCAAACAAAATCATATAAATGAAAACTTACTTCAGGAGCCAGAACAAAGGTTTGCATAAACTTCCTCTCTGGCTGTCCACTGTTAGACAGCAAACCCATGACCTGGACAACTACTCCATCACTCAAGGTCGCATGAGCATCCACATGACGAATTTTAGTATGACATTCACTGAAGTTCAGAGATAATACTTTGTGGTGTATATCCTTTATTAAGAGAAGAAAGGAAATATAAACTCTTATGATATTGCACTACCTATACAATAATACAATAATACAATAGAACTTCACTTGATTTCTTCCTCACAACTTGTAGAATATTTAATCTTTCTCCCTCACTGAATCCATTATATCATATTATGTATTAGTGCCAGACTAGTATTCCTAAACCACCATTTTCAACATGTCAACTCTCTATGCAAGAAATCACAATGGCTGACTCTTATCATGGAGTAGTATGGGCTTTATATAGCTTTATGCCCTATTCTGTATTAGGTATTAATCATTCACACAAAATGTGAGTGATGTCCTTGACATCACATCTAATTTCACTTTACTGCATGTTTGCTGGAGCCACTTCTTCTACTTTCAATTTCCTCTTGTTTGGTAAGGCTAAATCCTGTTATTCAGAGTCTAGCTGAAATCCCACATCCCATTCCCTACAAAATCATAAGAATCGTACAGTGCATTCCTGTTTAAAATAATATTTAGCCTACAATTGTACAAATTTAATATACTATCTCATTTGTTTCATGTATAAAACACATCAAGGATATAAAACATCTCATCTTCTCCTTTGTATCTATCCCAATATAATACTGTTTCATACAAAATGGATGTTTTTAAGAACCCAAAGCACAATCGATAATTATAGTAACATAAATTCTAATTACAACTAATGATTACATTCAAGAAATTCATGGGCACAAGGAGGCTATTTTTCAAATCTCTATCTTAACACACACACAAAAATCTAAAATGTGTATGAAATTGATACTTACATTTTGGCCATAAACAGCCTCCTGGGGCTTTCCACTAGCATCTACTCCACCATGAACATAGGAAGAATTCCTGCCATAAAACCTGTAAAACCACTGATAATGATTAATATTCAACTGTCAAGAGAAGTCTAAGAGGCAAGGCAGTAAAGTTTTGGTGTCAAAGAGACCCAATTTCCAGGTCCAGCTCCCTTATTCATCAGTTGTGTAATTTTGAGCACAATTATTGTCTGTAAATTCACTTTCCTTGGTTATATAACAGAACAGTGACTACCCCATAGGGTTTCTGTAAGGATTAAATGAGTAATGACATAAAATTCTTAGTGTGCCTAGCACACTGCATATACCATACACTCAAATCATTGGCTATTCTCATCTAATTTTTATCACATATATTTTTTGTTAAGTGGAAAAATGAGATATTCGTAACACATTCTACATACTGATGCTGCGGTAACTGACCCATTTATTTTCCTTTAGATACAAAAACTCAGTTATCTAGATTTGTTTGGGAATCAGATGCTGTTTAACATTGTACTGAGTTCCACTGATTACTAACGCTTTCAAAGGATTAGATTAAATCGGTTTAGATTTAAAATAACTGAAATAATTCAGAGACTACCAAAAAAAAAATCTAAATTATTTCAACATCCAATTTCTCAATAATATTTTTATATTGCTCTTAAATACGTGCTTCTCTGGTATTACCTAAAACAATTAAAATCATTATCTTTCTAAATTAAGGTTATCAAACATGCAAAGTTGATTTTTTTTTAAGAAAGAGAACTCGAGTTCTATCATAATAAAACATGTTAAGACTTCCTCTATGCCAAGTAATGTTCTTAGTATATCACATATATTGATTCATTTAACCCTAACAGTAGCCTCATGAAATAAGTGCTATCATCTAAATGAGATTCAGAAGATCACACACCTTTCAAGTGGGGCAACTAAGACAATAACCCAGTATTTCTGATCCAGCATCCATGCTTTTAGCTGGTACCCATATTTTAAAGTTTATGCTATTTCCTCTCATGAAAAATTGGCAAGCAGATAAACTGCTATTATTTTACTGGAGGACAATTTGATTCTCACTATGCATAAAAAAAGCCTTTAACAATCTGACTTCTAGGAACTTATTCTAAAGGTTCACAAAAAATGCATGTGTAAGGATCTTCAATTGTGTTAACAAGTGGAAAATTAAAAATTAAGTTTCCTAGGGAGGAAACTGGTTATATAAGTATAAACCAGAAGTTTGTGCTGTTGTTTCTTGTTAAAAAAGAAAGCTAACACCTACATGGTAAAAAGACTAAATTTCAAATAATGAAAGGCCCTATTAATTCTATTCTCCCTCCACAAACACTGTCAAAAAGAATGCCTTTATTGCCAGGCCAGTGTGGTTCAGTGGAATGAGCATCGCCCATGGACTTAGAGGTCCTGGTTCAATTCCTGGTCAGGGCACATGCCCAAGTTGGGGTCTCCATCCCCAGTAGGGGGCGTGCAGGAGGCAGCTGATCAGTGTTTCTCACATCAATGTTTCCCTCTCTCCCTAAAATAATTTTAAAAAATAAAATAAAATAAAATGTTTTTATTTTTATAGTTAGGAAAATCTATAGGTATTCATTTTGGGGTTGGAAGGATTGTCAACTGGAGTAACAAAGTATTGCACCCATGTTTAATAATGCAGGGCAAATTGCAAAATCTAACTTTAGAATAAGCAGCATCCTTATAAAGAGGACCTGTAGATTATATTTTACGTGTGTGTGTGTTTGTGTGTGACACATTTATCCTTAAGTCGCTTGCCTAGAGTGCTCTACAACAAATAGCAAAACCTAATATTTACAAAAGTCTCACTTATCTTCTACCTGCTAAAATATACCAGGAAAGAACAGAAACTATAAATATTACTCATAATATAAATCAATTTCATTTCAATCTCTGGAAAAAATAAGCTTACAAATTCCAACTCTTACCAAAATAGTAAAGAAGGCTCCTGTTGCTGTTTTACCAAGGAATACCATTTTGCAGATCAATCAAGAAATGTTCACAAGTATAAATCACGTAATGGATTCACTTCCTAATATTGCTATAGAGAACTTAAAAGCCCATGATTTCAAATTGCATATTGAAATTCACTGGTTGTCAAGCCCAAGTTTTTTTAAAAATGAAACATAAAAGTACCAGATTATATAATTTTGTGCACATACAATAGTACATGGAAATGTGTTAAATTATGTGAAGAGTTTTTCTTACTGTGAATTTCATTTAAAAAACAAAACAAAACCCTGAGCCTGGCCAGTGTGGCTCAGTGATTGTCAACCCATGCACCAAGAGGTCACTGGTTTGATTCCATTAGGGCACATGCCCAGGCTGTGGGCCAAATCCCCAGTGGGGGGGCATGCAGGAGGCGACTAATCCATGTTCTCTCTCATCGATGTTTCCATCTCTCTCCCTCTCCCTTCCTCTCTCTAAAATCAATAAAGAAATAAAAAATTAAAAAAAAAAAACCTTGAAAATACTGGGTTTAGCCATCAGATGGTTAAAATATTAGATATGGTTTACAAAGATACTGTCAAGATATGAGGCGACAGGAAAGACGATATGTAAAGTCATATTCAAGAAAATAAACTAAATAAAATAATACCAAAATAATTCATTTAAAATTTACCTGTGTAAATATTCTGGAGCTTTATTCAGCAAAGTATAATATTGCCTCACAAACTCCCGCCCTACAAGCAGCGGACTGGGCTTCTCCATAACCATTTCTTTGCTGCACAATGTCAAAATCTAAGGGAGCAAACAAGAATAAGTATTAGAAAGTCATCTTTGTAAATTTCCATGAAATAAATTTTCTGAGCCATACAAGAGGTATTAAAGAAAATTAATACTATTTATTAATAAGTAGTTTACAATGGTCAAAGAATAAATTTCCAATAACTACTGGCAAATTCCAACATCCACATCTCCTGTTTCTATTTCTTTATCTCCCTTATCCCTCAAAAGGGGGAAATAACACAGTTCTTATACCCAAGAGAGTCCAGTGCTGCCTCAAACTGTATAAACACCATAGCCAAGTCTTTCCATTCATACAGCACCTTTTTTCCTTTGGGGACCATTATCTCCTGTGTTCATGAATTAATTTTTGAAAAGTAGGCAGAGGGCACAGGGCAAGACTGGGAGATTATATTTATGGACAAAGTACTGACTTGTGTCATCTTCATATTTTTTCTCCTTCCAGGAATTTAATTCAGTTTTAAAAATATTACCACTAAATATCAGCAATAATCTCAGTACTCAAAGATAATTGTTTTTTTTTTACACCATTGATTAAGTATCTAATTAAGCCATGTACTGTTTATAGTAAATGAAATACACTGGGGAATAAGACAAGACACTGGCCCTCAAGGAGTTTATAGCCTGTCGAAGAATATAAACAAGCAAACAGAACACAATGTGTTAGGTGCTATACTAAAGTTATTTTTAAGCTGAAATCTGAAAGGTAAGGTCAAGAAACACAAATACAAAATATAACTAGAAACATAAACCTCCCATCATTTAAAGTAAATAATTTGTGTTTATAGCCCCAGAACAGCCAAAATTATAACATTAGAAATTAGAGAAAGGGTAGGGGGAAACTGGAATATTACGCGTTAAAAAATTATATATAGCCCAGCCGGTGTGCCTCAGTGACTGAGAGGGCTGATCCATGCACCAAGAGGTCACCTGCCCAGGTTGTGGGCCAAATCCCCGGTGGAGGGCATGCAGGAGGTGGCTAATCGGATGTTCTCTCTCATCAATATCTCTCTCTCCCTCTCCCTTCCTCTCTCTCTAAAATAAATAAAGAAAAAAAAATTCTTGCCCTGGCCAGTTTGGCTCGGCAGCTAGAGTGTCGACCTGCGGTCCAGAGAGACCCGGGTTCAGTTCCTGTTAAGGGCACGTACCTCAGTTGCAGTTTGTCCTCAGCCCTGGTTGGGTCGTGCGGGTGGCAACCACTCGATGTGTCCCTTTCACATTGATGTTTCTCTCTCTCTCTCTCTCTCTCTCTCTCTCTCTCTCTCTCTCTTCCTCCCTCCCACTCTATCTGAACAAAAAATGGAAAAAATCCTTGGGTGAGGATAAAAAAAAAATCTTAAATATATGAAAGCATCCTTTCTTATTACACTTAAAAGCATCAGCAGCAACAACAAAATCACAATATCTAACTGTATCTATTGAAAAAATTAGGATGGGATATAAATTCCTGTCTGATACATTTCAATGTAGGTTTTCTTTAAGCAAAAAAAGTTACAGTCTAAGAGTGCCCACCAGTTGTTATTACAATTACGATGCCTTTTTTTGTTTTGTTTTTTTAAATCAGATACCAACCACAGTGAAACCCACAGATTAAGACTAGTTCTATACAATTCTAGTGATTCCCAATTCAACCTTTTCAGGGCTGGGGAACATCCGGCCTCAGGGCCTTATAAGGCCCCCCAGAACTGAATACTAGCTAACATCACAGGCCTCACCAAATTAGCCTGACCAAATATAGATAACAGGCTAATTTTTAAGTTGATAATTTTGTATGGCCCTCGACAGAAATAGGTTCCCCACCTACAACATAATGCTCGATTAGCTGAACTGTTTTTTCTTCTATAACGTCCCAGAACTCTCAATCTATAAAAACCCCCAAAATATATTTTAAATTTTGCATAATGCCTCACTTGCTTTAATAAATAGTTAATTCATTACTTCCAGTGGCAGGATATGGGGAGGGGGAAGTAGCAAGAAGCCCCTAAAGCAGCCCAAGAAGCAGGCCAAGGAGATAATAAAAGATAAGGCATAAAAAAGGACTCTCATTTGCCATTTAAAGTAACAAAGCTAAGCAACACAGTATTATTTGGAATGATGGAAAAGAGTGAAGAGCAGTAGGAATTATCTAATAAAACTTTATAAACTAAAATGTTGAAATTACACTTTAATACTATAACAACTGCTGTCAAAAAAACCCACTAAGAACCCTGCCCAAGTGGCTCACTGGTTGAGCATGGACCCATGAACCAATAGATCGTCGGTTCCATTCCCCAGGGCACATGCCCAGGATGTGGGCTAAATCCCCAGTGGGGGACATGCAGGAAGGAGGCGGCCAATCAATGTTCTCTCTCACTGATGTTTCTATCTCTCTATCCCTCTCCCTTCCTCTCTCTCTAAAAATAAAGAAAAAAAATTTTTTTTGAAATAACACTAAGACATGGGAAGATACTACTTTACCCTCTGAATAAAAAAATTATACAAAACAGTTTTATTCAAATGGTAAGGATAGAAATGCAATTAGAGATTGTTTCTGGGTTTGGAAATTCTCATTTTTCCATTTTCTTCTTCCACATTTCCAGATTTTTTCCAGTGACACTTTGTCTTTTATCCCAAACCTCCCATTACATTTATAAGGTATATATTCACCTACCATTTTTCTCACTTACATATAACAAAGTAAAAAAAAAAAAAAAAAAGTTACTGAATACATCTATCAATATCAAAGGAAGGGTCAAAATATCCTAAAAAGTTATTGTAATAAAGTTCAAGAGGGCCCTGGCCGGTTTGGCTCAGCGGTTAGAGCGTCGGCCTGCGGTCCAGAGAGACCCGGGTTCAGTTCCCGCTAAGGGCACGTACCTCGGTTGCAGTTTGTCCCCGGCCCTGGTTGGTCGTGCAGGTGGCAGCCACTTGATGTGTTCCTTTCACGTCGATGTTTCTCTCTCTCTCTGTTCCTCTCTCCCCCTCCCACTCTACCTGAACAAAAATGGAAAAATGTCCTCGGGTGAGGATAAAAAGTTCAAGAGGGGCTTCAAATTACCCACCACCTAAAAAGTCACTAAAATAGCATGATCACAGTATCATCAATTTAGATCAGACAGACAAGGGGATAGGCAGTGGAGGTAACTTTTACTTGATTATTATTCAATAAATTATTTATTCAAAGGAAATAACTTAAAATGGTAAATGAGAAAAGGCAATGCTAATCTGGTAAAAGCCCAACAAACACCTATACATAAGAGGCTATGCAGAGCTCTTTTTTTTTTTTAAGGTGCAGGAGGCTCCCACAGGGCTGAAAACATGAAATAAAGATGTCATTCAGAGGATGGTATTTAAATTAATTATACTTACAAACATAACTTGCAGATCAGTTTACTTCTTTACAACTTGGATGTAAAGTGAATCAGAACTTAGAGGGCTAAAATATAACTGACTGATGGAACCAAGCAGAAAGTAAAGGTTATTTGCGGGGTGGGGGCAGGTGCAACCTTATTGACTAATCTATTTTTTAATGACAGATTAATTTATGTGTTCTATACAAGCAACTGTCATCTCTTCCATCTTTCCATCACCCTGCCCCCCAGAGTAGAGAAATTAACAGTTTAATAAATAAGGAATGCATCAAAGCAGCATTAGGGATAAATTATAGATGAACCACCAAGCAAGGTAGTTTGGAACTTGGAAAAACTGAGTAATATAAAGTTTGTGTTTATTATTCATGCACAGCCAGTGTAAATAAGAAGGTCCAGAGGAAGAGACAAATTACACATTCAGAATAAAAAGTCATGACCTTTTTGGATTTCAATTTCCTAATTTACAAATTGATCTCTGGTCAAGCTTACAAGACTATGCAGGTCAATAAAGATAGTCAAGATAGTACAAAAAAGATCTTCAGAAGATTATTAGCTTCTAGTACCTTAGAAGGGCAATTATCATCTATTATCTTTTTAGAGAAAGTGAAATTCTACGTATTAAACTCCATTTGATAATGTGGAGATTGCTGTCAAACTGAGATGTACAACATGAAATTTACTCTTTCCTTGTCAATTAAAAGCTTTCAATCCTATTTATTCATCCAGATACCAACACGATTAATTATATCCAGCCTCCCTCACTATTAACAGAGCTTCAGCTACTTCAGAGATCATTCTACTGACCAACTCTGTCCATTCCACTTAAAATCCTTCTGTATTTTCATCAATGTCCTTTTATTCATTCCTTTTCTTAAAACGTTTCCTTCTCCATATGCTTACACTAATTCCTGAAGCACATATCCAGGGAAACTGCTCTATATTTCAACTGTCACCATATTTTCTAAATTAATACCTATAACCCACTGAGAGGGACATGGAGAAGAGGAAGAAAGCAACACACATATACAAGAAAGATAAAAAAGAAAGTTACATTGGGCTTCATATTAGTATCTACAATATGCTCAGATTTCCTCAATTTCAAAATGAATACTTAAAAAATAAAAAAACAGTTATCAACCAAAGTTATCACTCCTCTATTCCTCTCATGACTAAAACCAGCTTTAATTAAGTGCTTAGGTTTCCGTTTACTTTTTAGTTAAAAGTCAGTGAATTATTAGTATATAATGAATGGGGCTGTACCCAAAGCAAACAACCTCAGGTTAGTATGGATGTAAAGTCAAAAATGAGCTGCCAGTTCTGTTCTACTTTGTACAAGTGAAATACTAGCTGAACAGGAAATGGAAATTACACAAAGGTAGATTTAGATTTAATATGAACACAATGAAAGAATAACCTGAAAGAGCTACATCATGAATAGCCAGTCACTGCAGGTATTTATTCCAGAGACTAACAGAACAATTCAGCAGAAATACTGTAAAATTAGTCACGTGTCTAATGCCAGGATTCTAGAAGTCTACTAACCAAGAACACCTGTGACTCCTACTCCAATACTCATTCCATACCTTTCTATCTATCTCATGATTGAAACCCTAAGCATTTACATTTGGGTCCAGCTAAAATATT